TAACTATCTTGATTAATTTTGTATTGTCTGCAAATTTTGCCACCTCACTGCTGATCCCTTTTTCCAGATCATTTCTGAACATTATGAATGGCACTAGTCCCAGGACAGACCCCTGGGGGACACCACTATTTACCTCTTTCCATTCTGAAAACTGGTCATTTATTCCTACCTTTTGTTTCCTGTCTCATAGACTCATAGACTTTAAGGTCAGAAGGGACCATTATGATCATCTAGTCTGACCTCCCGCATGATGCAGGCCACAAAGCCGTCCCAACCCTTTCCCTTGACTCTGCTGTTGAAGTCCACAAATCCTGGTTTAGAGACTTCAAGTAGCAGAGAATCCTCCAGCTAGTGACCCCTGCCCCATGCTGCGGAGGAAGGCAAAAAACCTCCAGGGCCTCTGCCAATCTACCCTGGAGGAAAATTCCTTTCCAACCCCAAATATGGCGATCAGTAGAACCCCGAGCATGTAGGCAAGATTCTCCAGCCAGACCCTCATTGGCCATTGATACTGCTGTCTTTTAACCAGTTATTGAATCATGAGCGAACCTTCCCTCTTATCTTGCTTAAGAGCCTTCCGTGAGGGAACTTGTTAAGAGCTCTCTGAAAATCTAAGAACACTACATCTAAGAACACTGGATCACCCTTATCCACGGTAGTTGACCTCCTCCAAGAATTCTAGTAGATTGGTGAGGTGTGGTTTCCCTTTACAAAAGCCATGTTGACTGGTCCCCAACAAAGTGTGTTCATCTATGTGGGCACACCATGGATTTGTATAGTGTCATTATGATATTTTCGGTCTTATCTTCTATCCCTTTCCTAATAGTTGCTAATATTCTGTTAGCCTTTTTGACTGCTGCTGTGCTCTGAGCAGAATTTCTCAGAGAACTTAGCCAGGGTGATTCCAAGATCCCTTTCTTGGGTGGTAACAGCGTATTTAGAACCTATCATTGTATCTGGATAGTCGGGATTATTTCTTCCAGCGTGCATTACTTGGCACTTATCAATGTTGCATTTCATCTGCCATTGTGCTGCCTTATTCACCCAGAGGCTGATTTCAATGACAAGTTACAGACTACAGGTAGCAGCTTTGCACTTTCCTATTTGAGTATCATCTGAACTCTTGGGTGAATACCATCTGCTTCTGGTGACCGATTACTGTTTAATTTATCAATTTGTTCTAAAACTTCTACTGACACATCAATTTGGGACAGTACCTCAGAATGTCACCCAAAAAGAATAGCTCTGATGGGGATCTCTTCCCCACATCCTTGGCAGTGAAGACTAATGCAAAACAATTCATTTAGCTTCTCTACAAGGACCTTGTCTTCCTTGAGAGCTCCTTTAACACCTTTGGCGTCTAGTGGCCCAACTAGATTCCTGCTTATGATGTACTTAAAAAAAAGTTATGATTAGTTTTTGAGTCTCTGGCAAGTTGCTTCTCTGAGGGCTCGTCTACACTGGCAGCGCTTTAACGTGCCTTGTGTGGTCGCAGCTCTCTAAAAAACCACCTCCACGCGGGGCGTAGCTCCCAGCGCTGGTGCACTGTCTGCACTGGCACTTTACAGCGCTGGAACTTGCAGCGCTCAGGGGGGTGTTTTTTCATTCCCCTGAGCCAAAAGTTGCAGCACTGTTAATTGCTAGTGTAGACAAGCCCTAACTCTTTCTTTTCAATTTACTTGCCAGGTTTGCGCTCCTTCCTATTTTCCTCAGTAGTATCTGATTTCCAAATTTTAAAGGCTTGCCTTTTTGCTTCTAATGACCTCCATTACTGTGCTGTTTAGCCCCGGTGGTATTCTTTTGGCCCTTCTATTGTCTTTTTGATTTGGGATATATATTTAGTCTGAGCCTCTATTATGAGCTTCTATTTTATAACTGAGACAATTTGTAGCAAGCAACATGACTTAATAAATCTTTAGTACCCGGGTGTGCAGAGGTTCAGACTAGAAAGATCAGTGGTGGGGTGTTCACTGGGGCAATGGCATCAGCACATTCCCTTGAACTACCCGGGCACGCATAAAGTGGCTGCCTAGAAACCCTCTCTCTGTTTTCCCTTTATTGGAGAATGCACACTGTAATCCTTCCAGATTACACATCTATGTAAGCGTAGTAGTGAACATGCTCTTAAATGCCGGTCTCAATTTGGGTGCCCCAAAGATTTAGTAGGTGCCATGCACTATGTTGGGGAAAACTCAACAGACTAAAACCATTTTTACCTGCATAACATCAATAGTTTGTTCCCTAGCTCTGAGGGGGAAAAAAAACAAAAAACCCAACAATAAACATTCTGAAAAATGGCTATTTTTTCCAGGTCATATATCTCTGCAACCTATAGCTCAAATGATCCCAAATCTGGGTCACAAATCCTATTCTGCACTCTCCTGAGGTACACCAAATTTCAAAGCAATCCAACAAAGCATGTTGATTTGAGAGGACTTAGAAAGATCAAACTTTAAACAGAACTTGACACAACTTTAACTATAGTGGTGTTGCCATGTGCTATAATACATTATGGAAAAAAAACCAGGACTAGATTAAAATGCTTTGTCACTGCAAACACTCTCCAGTGGGATAAAGCATTCAGAAGATATGATACCTCAAATCCTTTCACTAGCCAAGAATTGAATACTGTTAGTCTTGGATCCAAGGGAGGGGATAGATTTTCACATCTAAGGAGAAAGGAAAATACATGTTTGTGTGAAGTTATTTAAAAAAAAAAAACGGCGGTTAGAAGCTGTACAGAGGTTTGCCATATTAGAAGTAGACCTACCAGAGATGAATTAGTGGGCAGAGTGCAGGTTAAATGATCAAAGATACAAAATAAATATTGCTTGTCACATGGACACGTGGTATAAATGGGAATATTTAGTTCAGATGAACTGGGTTTGGTGGAGATAGATTGAGATACTGTACATCATTGGCAAAGAACTGGCAAGTTGGCAGTGGTGCTCCAGAATGAACATTAGATTTCTGCCTGTTCAGCTGTGGAGTCAGAATGTGTTGGTAAGGTGCACAAGACTTCTCAAGCTGTGCAGCAAGGAGGTCAAAGCATCAACACTGATGCAGACGGTGGCATTTACAGAGAAAAGAAGGAAAAGATCAACCCACCCCCTTTATTCTCCCTTTTCTGAAGCAGCTGCATAAACACTGTATAAAACATAAAGCAACTGTCCTTTGTATTTTTTCAAACCAGGGATAGCAATAACTGAAAATTTCAAAGAAAGAAAACACTTTCTTCAGGTGAGGGACTGCAGACCATCTGCCTGTAATTTGTGTACTTAACAATCAATAACAATTAGGAACAGGCGCTTTGCTGATTTAATGCTGTTCCCCAAGCCTTCCTACACTAACCCATACCCCTGTCACATTATTATGGAAGTAGCTGCTGATTTGTAAAGCAAGGACTTGCATTGCAACAAGCTTCCTCTATCATTACCTGAGAACAGAGCAGAAGCACTTCAGGTTCCCTGGTTAGCGGCACACTTACTGCATACAAGTGCTCAATTAAAGCAGCCCTTTCAGACAATTATTGAGCATTACAGCAACTCAGACATAGAAAATAGCCCCAAAAAATAGAATGTGCTTTCACCCCTCCATCAAAGCTGTACATTTTCTAGCTGGGCAATAACAAAGCTGCACGAGAATCACCAGGTTATTCTGTTTTGAAGGTTTTCTTTAAACCCCTAAAGTTTTTCACACACACACACACACACACACACACACACACACACACACACACACACACACACACACACACACACACACACACACACACACACACCTACCTACCTTCAGAAGCCACGGTGAATGCTGGTTATTGTCTATGTCTTCTACAATGTGAATCAAGATGCCATCCAGCAAAAAAAATATCCTCAAGAGGTCTAGCAAACCCGCAAAGGTGACTTTCTAAATGGTATTTCAGACAGGCAAGTTTCCTCCCTCCAGGTTCTAATTGTCCTGAATTGCTCAATCATCTTAAATATTGCATCCCGTGATCTCAAGTTATAGATGTTAGTTGCATCAGTCATTTTCCTATTCTTGTCCCCAGACTGGTGCCACTGCACCCACATAAACTGCCTCTGTTCTTTGCCAGTGTCTGGACCAAACTGCTTCCGATTTATGGCCTGACACACCATAATGGCTTCAATGTACGTCAGGTGAAATCTGGCCCATTTTAAACAAGTTTAGTGCTATTTACCCATTTCACTAGAATCCAGTTTGTTTGGTTATTTTCCCCTTATTCCTCTACTAGGATCTGGCTGGTGCCTGGTGGCTTAACTCAAGCTGGGAAACCAATGGGACTCTTAGCTGGCTGACAAGGAGATGATTCTTCTCCTCCCCAAAGGGCAACAAAGTCCACCTCAGTCATGCATTAAGTTTCTACCAGACTAAATTGAAGCAGTGACTCCTGGATGTTCCCCCACCCCAACCAACATGTTCTTAAAAAGAACAACAACATTCAGATTAACTCTGGGGCCTGAAGATTCACCTGTAACTCTAGCAACTCCAATGCTTTAATCACAAACCTCTGTCATTAAACAAAAACAAACCATCAGTATAACTCAGATCTCCACAATCTGGCTAGAAGAAGGAAGGGATTCCAGGAGCTGGTGTAAGAGAACAGCCACAGGTAGGGTGAGTCTCAGGCTCTAGCTTCACTACAGCGACCCACTACAACCGGCCTCTGTACAAAGGCGAAATGTGGTATCTCACTCATCTATTCCACGCTATGTCCACTCACGCATCCTGGTGGACTAACCACCATTTATAGTCCTTACTGCTCAGACTGTGTGTTACATTCTCCTGCCCACCTTTCTGTCCAGCTCTCCTTTGCTTTTCACTATTAATGTGGGGCAGATTATGGTCCATGAGTAAAAACAGGAAACAAGCCTTCCAGTGTGGAAGGCGACTGGGGACACAAGACCTTCTTCTTTCTTGACACTTTCCTAATCAGGGTCAGCGACTTTCATAGCCTTCTTCCAAAACGCATGAATGTATACCTAGCTGTCGTGCATATTGGTCTCTATAAGGTCCACGGATATCCGGTCCATACATCGAGTCTTTGGCCTCCCCCTTGGTCATCATCAGTCCACGATCATTGCAAAGGCCAGCCTACCAATATCGTTAACTTTAGCAGCCCTTGCCCAGTTACAACAATCGGGTAAGGCTGTTGCAGGTGGCTTGTGAGGAATGATCCTGCTCTCTGAGGGACACTTGACATGGACACAAGTTCAAAAGGGCATATCTTATTGGACAAGCTTTACAGGTTGGCTGTCCAAGATTGAAACCACCGGTTTGAAATTGGAGTTTCCCTTCTAGGTGATCTGCTTATCAAGGCTACCAAATCCTACCTGCCCCAGCAAGTCTTATTTTAAGGTGGTCTTTATTCACCTTGATGTCCTCATCATAGGGCCTATCTGGCATTTTACAGAGATAGCCGTGCCACCAGCTACCCCACCATGCCCTGCTGAGAGATGCCATGACTACTTATTGGATATTCACAGTTGTCCTTCCGTTTCCTATCCATCACCCAGGAATGTGCCTGATGGGAGTTGGTTGCCCCTTCTCAGTGCTGGGGACACACGGCCATCTACAATTTATTCATCGTGTCCACTGTTTTATGTCTTCATAGGGATCCCTCCGCTCACTTTAGGATTCAATCACTCCCTGATAATGTGCGAGGAGCCCACCATGTCCGCTGAGCTGTGACAATCCAGATGGCAGCAGGCAGGTGAGTAATGAACTCCATGCTGCTTCTATTAATATTCACGCATCTTCCCCATATTGCCCCGTCTCTCCAGCATTAAGCATAATTGCAATGACATGTGAATGCTTTCTAAAGTTTGTCTTAATTCATTTATAACATTTGGTTCCTGTGAATAGATTTAGGGATAATATTTCATTGCACACAGAGCCAGCACTGCAGCAAAGAAACCCAAGAGGATTACGGTAGATAACACCCCATCCATCCAAACACACAGAAATCTACCGAGTGGCAGGGGTGGTAGCCTGGCCAGCACTCAATTGGAAAGCAGTAAGGTGAAGCATTTCTATTCCATTATATGGAGCCCTTCTGATTCAGCCTGGGTTTGTGGGTAGTAAAATCTGCCATTAAGATTTTAACCATCTGCTACCAACTTTCACAAAAGGGATGAACCTCAATACAGAGGGGCCAAATTCTACTCTCATTTACACCAGTGGAAAGCCAAAATAACTCGACTGGACATGGCTGGACTATTTGGTCCGATCAACACTTTCTACAAATTTCATCCTTTTTTAGTAAGGGAGTCATTTGTGATTTGCTTCAAAAGTGTATTATTCATACCTTAAGTACCTTAGATAAATGAGCTACAGGCAAATTACTATCCCCATTTTACAGATATGGAACCAAGACAGAGATTTGGTCCTTAACTACCACAATTAGTGGTATGATTTTTTTTTTAACCAAAATAGTTATACCAATATAACACCTAGTGTGGATGCAGTTATACTGGTATGAAGTGCCTTATACTGGTATAGCTTATTCCCATCCTGTATGGCATCTTTATCCCAGTATAACTGTCCACACTATAGGGATTGTACCACTTCAACTATACCAGAATAAAGTGATACAACTTGTGTGTGTAGACAAACCCCAAGTGACTTGTTCCTGGTCACACAGGAAGCCTGGGGGTGGGGTGGGGTGGGAAATCAGGATTTAAACTTCTCTCTGCCCAGTTGAGTCCTGTAGCCTAACTGCAAGACCATCCTCCTTTCTACACTTGTACAATTCCTAGAACACAGGTTTGTAATCTATTACTATATTTAATGTTGATGCTACAAGGCTGGGTGGCCCAGGGAACGGATAATAAAGTACACAGCCTTTGACTTTAGATCACCAGCTCATATTCAACCCAGATTTGAAGTGACCCAAATCCTTCTGTATGATGCCCTAACACTTCCCTACACCGTGTGTAGCTCCCCTTTCCAGCATAGCACCTTAACTAAGCAATAAATACACAACAAAATTACTTACACATGAGTAGCATGACCTCCCTGAACCTCCTCTTGAGTGATTCTCTCATCATTACTTAGTTTTGATGGATAGAAACAGACGAGTCAAGGTGAAAAAAAATAATGCCTTGCCTAGACCTGTCAAAGATTTATAGGGAACCTGGGAGTGGGGAAATAGATGCAATAGTGCCAGGAACGTCCAGGTTACTTGGACACATTATGCACTGTGGTGCTGATTTAGAGGGAATACCAGTAATTTTTTTTCTGGCCTTGGGTTTACATTCTTGTATAATGACTTGTATGGATATTTGTAGTTATCAGGACGTGTAACAATGTACAGGAAAGTCCCTGTCACTCAAGCCTGCTCCTTGGCACTGATAGGGGATCTGAAAGAGCTGTGGGAGTGGAATCAAAGGGCAGGAATGCATAAGAATAAATGGTGATGGATTAATAAAATAATCAATAATAATATAAAAGGCTGAATCTTTTCCTCTTTTCTACCCTCTTTTGGTTGGCCTTATGCAGGCTTTGCATTCAGATGAGGGCAAGGACCCTGCACTACGCCCTGCTCCATAATCTCCTTGCAGTCTCTCACCCTTATGCATGCAGGGCTAGAGACTTTAATGATGCAGGGTAGTGGTTGAGCTGTAGAATATTCTACTTTATCCACAGACTTCAGGCATGGATGAGGCGCTGTGTACATAGCTCATTCTTTCATGTGCATTTCCAGCACCGGCTCAAGCTGCTTGAGAAGCTGCCCCCACAGTAGAGACACATTGAAAGTTTTTGTCATTCAAAGAAAACTGCTATTAGATAAATAACACTGAGCAAAACGTAGCTCTCTCTGACCCGCCAAGAAACTCCATTGGTTAGCCTTGCGTTTGTTTAATTGATTGGCTAGGACTGGACGGTGCCATAAAAGTTGTTTACATAAGGGGGACAGTGGCTAGGCTATACTAGAGGCAGCCGCCTGGAAGTGAAACAAGCAAAAGCCCAAGTTCACAAAACATCCAGCTGATCTGGTTCATTTCCAGATTGCTTAAGTTATTTACAGAAAGGTTCTAATTACTGATCAAAAAGACGAAGGAAATTAAATTGGGATCCCAACGCACAACGCAGATGATTACTAGTGATCTGCTAAATGTTTGCAATGAAAGCCCTAGGCCATGAAAATCTCACCTGGTTTTAGATTTGTTACAAATTCACAACCCAGCCCAGGTTTGCTAAGAAGTCTGAGGACCTTATTATAGAGCTAGGGCCCTCTTTTGCAATACCAAAGGGATTGGGGATCTCGTCCAACAGCCATTAATCTCAATGTTCCATGGATCAGGCCCTTAATCCCCATTTTAATTACAAATCTCAGCTCAAACTGCTAACGACACCACTATGCTTTTGTGTCAAGAGCTGGTAGGAGTTTGTAACTTCCCCACTTTTAAGAAAATAGGATAAACTCAGTGATTTTGACCAAGTTGCACTTCAAAATTTGGGGTTTATTGAAACCTGCATATTGAAGTAAAATTTGGTTCAGGATGCATGCCAAGCTACGTGGACAGAATATGGGGAAAATGTCTGCATGAGCCCCTGCAAAGTGAAACAGCTATATTTCCCTCAACTCTCGTATCTGATCACATCCAGAGCCAGTTCTAGACTTCACAACCGAAACATGAACACACAAACTTTGGGGAAGTTTGTCCTTGGAACCAAACTTGGATCTGTGGCATGGGCCCATCTCTGATTAGAACAGACCTTTTCCTTTATGGTGATTTCACCTTTGGAACGTATTTAAAGTTTCCAGTTTAAATAAAATGTCAGTTATAAACATGTCAATTTCTAACCATATTTTACTGCGAACCATCCTGCCCAGTGTTTTTACTCTTTTCCTAATTTATGTGCTTCTCATGGAAGATAGCAACTCGAATGCATTAAAATATGGGCAGAAAGTCAAGCCTCACATTTCCCTAGGACTGTTCCAGATGAAAAAACTGTGAAAAATGGTGTAAATTAGATCCATACTCAAAGCAAGCTCCATCAGTCAGATCTTTTCTCTGTAAAAAGTCATGCACTTTTTGCCTGGGAAAGTTCTACCTAAGTACCAGTCTGGAACACAGTAACATACATAATTGTGCCTTAATGATACAGTGAGTGACAGAAATAGGTGCACAGTAATAAAGATAAGAAGATGTCCGAACGCAGGTCTCTATGGCAATAACTAACACATACAGCGCATGTTCCTCAATACTTTCTAGTTTTTCACTGATCATCAGCTGACAACTATGGTATTCATGGCATTCCCTACCCTTAGTACAGGGGTTAGCTGGGGAAAATGCTGTAAATAGCATGGGAGTATTAGCTATAAAGACAACTGGAGAAATTTTAGAGGTGACCAGAGTAACTAGTTAATGTGTCCCTTGCATCCAGATGTTTTTCTCTTCTAAAATCACCCACTTGGAATTGTATTTGTTTTTCACCATTTAATTTTCTCCATCAACTGCTGCTGATTACATTTAAGCCATTTAATTTTTTAATGAATTAAAAACTTTCAATGCTACAAGAAGAAATTTTTCAGACAGCATCCAGCTACCTAATGGATTACCTTGTCAGCAGAACTATTTAAAACATCTGGGGCCAGAATTTATGAACAATCCATACTCAGTTCCTGGGGCATAAGAAATCACCCTGGCCACTTTGTTGCTTTATTCCAGGGGAGCAGAGCAGGGGGAGTTCTTGGCCATAGAATCTGCTGAACTTTTCTTGGTTTATCTGTTTACTTGCACACCTGCTGCTTGGATTTCATGCGTATTTAAATAATGGTCCATGGCTCACGAAGTTTTATCACCCTAAAAAAACCCAAATAATGAATAAAAAAAATCAGAATCCCTCTTTTATAATAGTCCAAATTCACACAGCACTGATTTCAATAGAGTTACACCAGCCAAGATTTTTGGTCCAATATGTGTCATTCGATATAATTAAACATCTGTGGCATTCTTCATAGTAAACTGGGAAGAAGGTGCCAGTAGTTTCCATTCTGTGTGGCTAGTTGCTTTCACTTAGTCAGTCAAATCTATCATGGCCTGATACAAAACCCA